ACTGGACTATTTGAATTACCTGGTAGTCTAAAACCAACCCCAATTACTGCAACACCTTTATTTCTACTATTACTATTAACGGTTTCCATTTTAAATAAAAAATTAATATGACGTAAAAAGAAAAAAAAGGAAATAGTTATTTATAAATGAAGAAAAAAAAAAAAAGAAAAATATTATATATGAAAAAAAAGTGAAAGATAATTCTGTTTATGAAAAAAAAAAGAAAAAAAAAAAGATATTACAAAATATAGATAAAAAAAAAAAGATTTTATAATAACCATTTCTTAATAATGGTTTAACAATTTGACAAGCGAAATATTATTGTTTTTTAATATTTAATTTTTTTGTAATCTGAAATAGTAAATAAAGAAATTATTAAAAAATGGGGGAAGAAAAAAAAAAATAAAAACGGGTAAAAATGTGTGTGTTGTGTGTGTTTTTGATAACTTTAAAAAACCAAAAAGTAAATATTGATAAATAAGGATTATAATAAAAAGGATAGATCTTTGGTTTTACAAATATTTAATATAACTCGATCTAAATATCTTCTATTACCATTTTTTATAAATCGTTTAAATTTAAGAAAAATGATTTTGAAACTATGTTTATATAATAAATAGGAAGTTGTTTTTGGTTGAGAGGGATATATAAAAAATGGGGAATCGAAACTTCTACTACATAATGGTGACGAATTACAGAAACTAAAACTCAGTTTGAAAGTCTTTATTACCAATGTTGTTAATATGATCAATGTAATCTTGGATGATAAAGGTGTTGAAAATGACATTTTTTATTTATTATATATTTTTCCCCTGCTGCATTATTATTATTATATTTTTATTATCATATATTTTATTTTTTTCACCTGCTGCATTATATTTTTAAAGTTAACACACCAACCTATATATAGGTGTCGATAATATACACAGAAAATTTGTTTCATTGAAACAATATTATTAAAATGGTTTATATTATTAATAAAACCACCAAAAAGAATTTTCAAATAAAAATAAATTTTTGAAGAATTTGAAAATTAAATTGATTTTTATTTTTTTAAAAAAAAAAAAAAAAAAAAAAAAAAAAATATTATGGGGAGACCAAAACGTGCCATTTAAAAATTTTGACAAAAAAAAAAAAAATTAAAAAATTTTCCCATATTAAAATAAAAAATTAATTAATACATTTCCCATATAAAATTTTCAAAAAAAAAAAAAAAAAAAAATTTTTATTTTTTTATGTTTTGAACCAACCGCATAATAATATAAATATTAATTTTTTATATTTTTTTTAATTTATAATCATGGCTGAATATCCCAAATTTGCTACTAAAGGCACACCATTTTCAATTAGTTTTAATAATGATATTAAAGATAATAAAGTTATAGGTATATATAATCAGCATTATGCAGTTTGTTTAAAAGGGAATGATGGTGGTATAATTACACTCTACGATTTAAACAATAATAACCAACAATTTAAACAATTTTCAAATGTTTGCAAAAAGCATAAAGATTGTGACAGAGTTGCAAAGATTATTGATAATGATACTGTATTTATTGAATGTTTTTTCAGCGATGACTATTATCACTATTCAATGATAAACTTATCCAACGGTATGTAAAATATATATTTAAAATTATAATTAAATGAGATATTTATACTAATTTATTTTCTTTTAAAAAACTAATAGATCAATTATATGAAAGTGAAAATTATTTTTATGGTAGAGCTAAACCAACCAGTAATTGCATGTTAACTGAATGGAGCAGAATTAATTTACCATCGAGTCAAGATCCAAATGTAAAAGTTGAGTTGATTAAAGTAGACTGTTTTAATTTTGTTACTGGTCAAGGAGAGTTTGTGTGTGCATTTAGACCTATCCCAGGCGAAATTTTTACATGGATTTCAATCAATAAAGAAAAAACCAAACTTTTTGTATCCTCTTTATTTAGAGGTGATACTACCATCAGTGTAAGATCGATAGAGTCAAGTAAAAGTGCCGATAACATCATAGAACTATGGACTTTGGGAAAAGGCGATCAGTTGTTAAGTTTAAACTTACAAGATGACCAAAAAGTAATAATTCATTCAAAACTATCGATTATTGTATATGACATGCCAACAAACAAGTATTGGTACATCAAACCCGAACCCGGGTCTATTACCGAAGTGGGTAGTCTTGTTCAAGTAATAGACAACATTTTAGTACATTGGTATAAGCACAGAATCAACGAACAGGGTTATTTGTTTTTAAATTTTTGGGATATTCAACAAGGTGTTTCAATTAAATCGATCAAAGTTGACCCAAAATATGCTTCAAACAATCCACCAGTTTCAATAACCTCTAATAACGATAAATCAAAACTTTTGGTTATTAATAATAATGAAATTCACACATTGGATTTTAATTAACTTTCCATTACAAAAAATAATAAAATAAATAAAATTAAAAAATAATATTATGTGGTTGGTTCAAAACATGCCATTTTTAAAAATTTATAAAAAAATTTTTTTTTTTTTTTTTTTTTTGAAATTTTTATATGGGAAATGTTAATTTTTTTTACATTTCCCATATTAAAATTTTTTTTTTTTTTGTCAAAATTTTTAAATGGCATGTTTTCATCCCACCGCATAATAAAACACGAAATTATTTTTTTATAATAGCATTTTTTTTTAGATAAAAATATCATAAAATATCATAAAATATCTGGTATATGAATTTTCCCTATTTTTACAGCTTTTTCTTTGTTTTGATTTTTTAATATTTCTTTATTAATTATTATTTGAGAACAGAGAATAACACAGTCAGATCAAAATATTTTTATAATAATAGAACCAAATAATGGGTATTCGAGATATATATAGAAACAATTAAATAAATGGGTAAATAAATACATTATTGTATATATACAATAATTAAATAATCAGTTTTTTGAACTTGGCGTTTTATGTAGTCTCGCCAAATAATAAACGAAATCAACCAAATTTTTATTATGATTTTTTTTACGGTTTAAAAACGATGTTGAAATAATAAACGAAATCAACCAAATTTTTATTATGATTTTTTTTACAGTTTAAAACCGATGTTTAAATTTCTCGCACTAAAAAAATCAGATAATTAAATGATATTTTTGATTCACGAGGTTTTTTTTTTTTATAAAAAATCATAATAAAAAAAAACATAAAATATCAAGAATATGAATTTTCTCTCTTTTTTTTTTTTTTTTTTTTTTTATTTTTTATTCAGTGTTTTCTTTTTTTAATTTTTTAAATATATTTTTATTTTATTTGCCAACAAAGATTATAACAATTAAATTTATAAACTTGATTGTCTCATATTATAAAAAATTAAAAATAAAAAAATATGAAAATTAATTTTTTAAATTATTTTAAAATTTTTTTATCATCATTCATTATTTTTATTTTTTATTTAGACTATAATAATGTATTTGTTAATGGTCAAATATCACAGTCAGATCAAAATGTTTTTTTAACAATCGATCCAAATAATAGGTATTCTAGATATCCAGATAAAACCGATTTATTAAAATGTACATTCGGTATAAAATTTATAGTTCAATATATTACAAGTCCTATATTAGAACCACTTTCGGGACTTTTTATTAATAACTACGATACTTTTTATGAACTTAAAACAACTCAAGATGCAGGCCAAGGTTTAACATCAAAGTTTAGAATTAAGGATAGGGATAACCAAACATTATTCACTGACTTTAATTTAGAATTGTTTTGTCACAGTAAGTATTATAATACTTTAATTTCAAATATATTTAAATAATTATAATTATAATATACCTGTATAAATAATAAAAAAAATAATATAAAAACAAGAAATAGATATAGTAAAACTAAATTTTTATAAATTTTTTTCAATAAATAGGTATTGATGTAGATTCATTGGAAATTAAAGCTTTACCTCCATTTGTAGAACCTCAACTTCAAAACAACATAAATACATTTTATTTTTATTTATCGATTAAAGGACTTAAGTATCCAGTACCTTTGTCAATTGAACCATCATTGGCCAGTACTGGTATTACTATTATATCAACCCCGATTGAAGAGTGTTTATATCTTCTAATGGTTACAAACATTAATGTTGAATACTTTTTGGATCTAAATGCCGAGTTTAATCTAAATTTCACCGATAATAGAAAAATCAAAGTTAAAAGTGAAACTATCTTTAGAACTACAAACTATCAAAACATAACATATAAAGTATATCCAGAAACACTTTTAAATACTCTGTCTAGATATCCTCAAAATGGATTCTTATTTTCACCTGTTGTTATTGTGACATCAGATTTAACACCCGAAAATGCTTATTTTTTAAGTAAAATTGGATCACAAGCTCCTCCCACATTTAAATTGGCTTCTCAATCGTTGGATAGTGGCAATAATATGGTATATAATTATATTTTCCCAATATCTGTAAATAGTGGCGCTTCTACCGATTTTTTATTATCCTATAACAATGGCTCAAAGTCTAGTATGATTTCCTTTTGGTATAACCCTTTTATTTGTAAATATTAATATTATTATTATAGTATTGATTATCATTTTAATACTAACAATTTGTTTTTAAAGTTTTTGATACAGGACCTATACCTCAAAGCAGCCTTTCACTAGTTCCATTAGACACATTCTCATTACTTTTTAATAATATTGCAGGGACATATTTTTTAACAAATTTAAAATATCAAACCAGTTTCTATGGATTTTCTTTTGTTTCTGAATTCCCATATGGGTTTATTGAAGGAACAAACTCTGCATTTTATTATAAATCAGTATTTTTTCAAAAATTATCAAACGGAATCACAGATAGAGTAACGTTTCAAGAATATACCCAAAGTTTTTTGATAGATCTCCAAAATCCAAACTATAATACAACAACAGGTATTATTATTATTATTATTATTATTATTATTAGATATTATTATTAATACTTGTTTTATCATTAACATAATTCTTTTCTAGATATGAGCCCCCCCAGAGTAACACATTTAGAGTTTATTCATATCTCGGGATTTATATTTTTATTTAAAGTAGGACTATCTGATGAAACTGCAGTAAAACAAATTTTAATTGGCAAAGATTTTAAAAAATCGATCGCTTGCGAGAGTATTATAGATGGTGATAGTAAAAACGGTTTGTTTGAATCGGCTATTGACATTGAAGATTTAGATGGCTATTTGGCATTAGATTCTTATGGTAATCAAAAAGATTTTTATAAAGATAGTTATCTTTATACCAATTCCGAAGGATTCTCTGTCTATTTTACTATTCCAGTTCCTGATGTTCAATGTAAGTTAATATTTTTTAAAATTTAATTTCATTTATATCAATATGATTCTAAAAGTATACTTTTTTTAGTAAAAATTGAAAATGTGACCTATTTGGTAAATGATATTGACATTGCTGATAAGCCATGTTATAATACAATTTATTTTAACTCTTCTACAATTCCAAGAGATTATCCACTAAAATTTCTTTTGACCGATGATATTTCAACTGAAGACTTTCAAGAAAATTTAATTAAAGAATCAACAATCAGATGGGATGACCGATTAAAGCTTTTTTACTGTGACTTTATTGTGCCAAAGAACACAAACCATAAAGTTATTAATTATAAGATATCTTCACCTTATAAAGGAGTGAAGAGTCATGCATTTCCCCCATTAAGAGTTTTAAAGACTAATTTCGATAACGATGGTCCAATAATATCAAGTATCACAAATATTGATGGTAAAACTGGATGGAGAATTGGAATTACTGACACACCCAACGGTTTTAGCAATGGTTATATAAAAGCAATCGGTTCAAAAGATTCATCAATATTCAAATTTAATTTCACGATTGCAAATGCCATTCAAGGAGGTACAATTTATGATGGTCAATATGAATTTGTTATTGATATACCCGGTAGATGTATAGCTCAAAATTTTACAATCGAATATATCTATTTAGAAGATACAAATAAAAGAATTTCAAGATATTCAAGAGGTGATAAGAATTATAAACCTGAAAAAGATCCACTAAGAAATTTCAATGGAGAATCTAGTGTAACCAGAGCAACATCAACATGTTCAAAAACTACCTTTGATACTTCACCGCCAGAGCTTACATCATTCACACCATCTACTATAAGTATAGACGTTGGATCTTTAGATAGAAACATTGTTTTCAAATTTGCAGCTCAAGATCCAGATTCTGGTTTAATGTTATCCCAAAAACCAAAGGTTTATTTAACATCAATTAATATGGAAACAATTGAATGTGAATCAAATATAATTTCGAGTACCGAAGACTGGGCAAGTTATGAATGTAAAATGGAAATACCTTTAGGTTTTGGTTATCCAGGCAATTTATTAGTATCAGTTTATGGCTTTATTAATAATGAGGGTTATTATAGCGGTTTTGCAAATGATGCTCCTGAAATTGGATCGTATTCAAGAATTGAAACAACACTATCACCAACACCAATTCTCACAAGTTATGAACCAATGCTTTACTATTCTACTTCAGATATTATTGTATATGGTCACCACCTAGATTCCGTATCCTATGTGAATATTACATATTCAGATGGTATTACACGTTCATATTCAAATCTAAAAAAATTCGGTAAATCTGCAATAGTTATAGCTAAAGATGATATTGCAATTATTGGTCCATTTAACGTTACTGCATTTTATCCAACCAAAACAAATACAATTATAGTTCTTCCAACTTATTTTAATACAACGGGGTTACTAAAACCATTTGAACCAACATCAACACCAGAATTAACAAAAACTCCAATACCAACTAATAAACCACAACAATGTTTAGGTTCGCCATTATGTGGAGGTCCATCCCATGGTAAATGTGTTGAAAACCAAGGTTGTGTTTGCGTTTCACCATGGATTGGTATTGATTGCTCATCAAGAATTGTTATTGTTGACCCACCTCTCGCAAACAATTCAGATCCCTCAACTGAAATTGTTCTCCCCGATTCTAAAAATGAAAATGGTAATAACTATACGGTCACTTACAAATCATTAATTACATTGGTATCATTAAGAGAAATTAATATTTTTGGTGATGTTATTTATAGTAAATCTTTCGACAAATGGATAGTCACAACACAAGATAACTCAACATTTATTTATAAAACAAGTTTAGAAATAAAAAACACAACTACTACAAATGTAACAGTAACACTAAAATGGTTTTCAAATGAAACAACGATATCCTTTGCTGACCAACAGCTATTAATGTATCCATCAACAATAAAGTATACAATTGAAATTGGCAACTATCCATTCCAAAGCTCTCTAACTTCGCTTCAATTGGTAATGTCAGCATTATTACAATCAAACACGACAGATAATATTTGCTCAGCAAAAGAATTTGGGGAAACTACATCGGGCGACAATTCAAATTATCTCAAGATTCAAGTCGATGATCATTCACTATATGGTAGATTCATTAAAAGAGGTTTTATAGATTCCACAATAAAATCAGTTTCAAATATTTTGTTAGACAAGGATATGAATCCAATCACATCAACCCAAACACTACAGTCATATATAGGTATTCAAATTGATAACTTTAAAGAATCAGTTATTATTGACCCTGATTTTTCAGTTCTATTGGACTCATCTAGCGCCTCATCTAAAACCAATTCAATTTGCTTAAGAAAATCAAAATTAACAGGTTCTCAAATTGCAGGTATTGTTATAGGTTGTGTGGCATTTGTTGCAGTTGTATCAATTTCAATAGTTTATACCATATATAAAAATAAAAAAAACAAGCAATTTATGAAGGATGTTGCTGTTAAATTAGGCCAACTAAACAATTAAAAAAATAAATGTATTTTAAAAGTTAAATCATCATATCATTTTCACAAAAAAAAAAAAAATTTATTTAATACATAAAAAACAATAAATATATAAATATCAAATGAAAAAATAAAAGTATTTTTAAAATAATTGATATTTCATTTTTATTATATGGTATTTATTTTTCTAGCGTTTTTTTCATGTGTTTTTTTTTTTCATTTTTGTGAATTTATAAAAGAAATTTTATTTTTTTTAAAAATTTTAATTTTATTATTTTTTTTAAAAATAAAAATTTTATAAAATATTTATTATAAAATTGAAATTTTTATAATAACATTGAAATTATTAAAAATACTAATAGAGATGATAAATAAATTGAAAGTTTATGAGAGCCATTACCAGCTGGTGATTCTGTTGGATTGTTAGATGCGGTTTCTGTTGGTTTTGGTGTAGGAGATGGTGTTGGTGTATTTGATACTGTTGGTTTGGGTGTGGTAGTTTCATTAGGTGTTACCGATGGTGTATTAGATGGTGTTTCTGTTATTGTGGGTGTTTCTGATGGTGTTGGAGTAGTGATGTTTTTATTGGTGCTACATAATACACTGAAACCAGATGAACCAATTTTGATAAAATCATTGGATGGGTCTATGCATTCAAAGGTTATTGGCTGGATTGTATCTGGACATTCAGTAAATTGGGAAAAATAAAATAAATATTCGTTTAACAAAAATTTGGGTATTATTCTAATGTAACCTTGACAACCACGTTTGCATTCAAATAATTCTACTAATGCATAGTCACCCTCTTCATGGGTTCTACAAGACTCTGGGTCTCCATCTTTTTTAATTTGAAAATAGTTAAACTTATTTTCTTCTTGAGACTTGACAGTAATTATTGAAATACAAATTAAAATTAAAAAACTGTATATAAATTTCATTTTTTAAAGTATAATATTAATTAAATGAAGGTTTAGATGAATAATAAAACTTTTTTTTTTTTATTTTATAATTTTTTTAACAGGTTTGTTTTTAAATATTAATAGAACTATAAGTCTATTCAGATTATTCAAAGAAATATTATACTAAATTTAACACCCATGTTTTATTTTCTTTTTTTAAAATTTTTTAAATATGGTGTGTTTTTTTTGGGGGGGGGTTTTTTTTCAAACTAATATCAATAATTTTCTAATAGTTTTTAAAGTTCATATTTTTAGTATACAAATTTAGCTGCAAAGAATTGTTTTCAATTATTATTAAAAGAATTAAGTGGTAAATATACTGCATTTCAAACAGGTTTTAAGATGTATCAATTAAATTTATAATCCTGCTTGAAATTCTGTATATTTACAACTTGATTCTTATATAAATAATTTATAAACTAAGAGTTTCATTTAGTTTAAAGAATTTACTGCATTTATCAATATTCGGATGCAAGATATTATTGAAGAATTTAGAGAATATAAAAATACCTATGTAGACGATATTATTTATTCATGAAGTGCAAAGACATTTGATGAACATATAATAAACATTACAAATAATATTTTTAAATAAAATATTTTTAATTTTGTATTATATTAATATATTTATAATTTTAATTCTTATTTACAAAACCCAATAAAAAACAGATAGATTTTGTTAATTAGGAAAAAAAATTTTAATTAATCTTTATTAATTTTTTTTTGAATTTTTAATTTGAATCTATTATTTTGATGTTCATCTACAGAACACATAGAGTTATAACTCTGAAACATTGGTATTACATGCTTTAATAAGAATTATTTATAATTAAGTATAAAAACTGTTTATGACTCTAAATCTGATATTATATCTGTTCTTCCTGGTTCAAAGAGTTATATATAATAAATCTTTGAAAATTGAATGATTTGCTGTTGTTTATTTGATTGATATAAAAACAAACTGTTGGACTAACCTCTACATGGTTTCTTTAGTACACATTCTAAGTCATTGAGTCGTAATTGTCTAAATTTATTTGACTTGATAATTTTATAGCTATTTCTGATTGAATGTATGAATAAATAGATTACACCTAAAATCTAAGTACTGACAATTATCAAAATTGTATACCAAATATTAATTGAATTATAAAGTATATCTAAAGATGAAAACTAGTTTGATTTTGATTTTGATTGTAACTGAGGTCAATTAAAAATATCACAGAGTTTGGCCATCAGCTTTTCATAATTTAAAGAACCATATACTGATGCATCTATTATGCTTTATGAAAGGCCAATGGAAGAGATGATATACTTGAGATTTAGGGCGGAAATGATATTGTTGGCTAAGTGCATATTGGCAACCCAAACAATGATGGACCTCTACTTTGAGCTTCATTGGCTACTGATTACTGAGAATGGCCGAAGACTGATTACTTTTAGGTTTTTTTTAATTTGATTATAATATAATACTGAAAAATTAACAATGTGGTAATGAGTAGATTAAAATTGGGAAATACTGAAAAATTATTTTAAATGTGATTATTTAATAAATAAAAGTTAAAAGGATGATTAATATTATTTTAAAAAAATAAAAATAAAATAGTAATACTTACATAGAATAAACAGAACCCCGATGATTGAATTGGGACTTTAAAATGTGTTAATACTGAAAAAGAACCCCAATGTTCCATGAATGATTTAAAAAAACACAATTAAAAAGAATAAACTCTACCCCCAATGTATGATTAATGATTTGAAATAAATAAAATGTTGAAACTGTACAAGAAAGAATTAAAATTTAGCTAAAAAAGTATTAAAATTAAATATTAGTTTCTTTTATATTCAAATTTAACAATAATTATGTTAATAATAACATTAAAGTTACCTTTAAAAATACCAATACCCCAATGTTGGCATAAAATAAAGAACGTGATTATACTGAAAGAGAAATTTTATAATTAAACTATATGAGACTGAAAGAGAGAGAATTAATCTAAATATAAAATAAATATTAGTTTCTTTTATATTTTAATAATTATATAAATATTATCATTGTATTTACTTTGATAAAAAAAATACCTAAACATGGCAACGCGTTGAACGAGAAAGAATTAAATATTGAACTTTTTGATATGAAAGAGAAAGATTCAAACTAAAACCGTGTTGAATGAGAAAGAATTAAATATTGAGCTTTTTGATATATATGAGAAAGATTTAAACTAAAACGAATAAATATTGGTTAGTTTTATATTCAAATATAATAATTATGTAAATATTAATATTATAGTTACCTAAGGGAATGAAAGCTCACACATAGACGTTTAGTATAGAGCAAGATTATTATGAAAGAGAAGCAATATTATTAAACTAAATAGGAATTTATAAATTTGAGAACCAGTACATGAAACCTTTGGAACTTCTTTAACCTTTTGAAGAGTTGAGGATAATGCAATGAATGGTAACATTTGTCCTATGATGTTGTTTTCTGATAAAATTTTGTTTGATTTCGTTATTATTCTATATAGATGGAGTATTATTGATCGAGGTTAAAATAATCATCTAATTGGTGGCCAGCTAATTGATGACGATTAACCTAAAAATCTATATTTTCCCTATGGATTGGAATATTGTAATCGAAATGCTATTGGACATTCATTCTTTTTAAAGTGTTATTAATTTTATTAATCTATGTTCATTGCATCATTTGTTAAACCCTCATTTTGATTATCTCTCTACAATTAAATAATAAATTAAATTAATATATATTTTTTTTTAATAAAGTATAAATATGAATGTATGAATTACTTACTCTAATACTTGAAATTGGATGTCTGCAAGTTGGACAGGTTCTAGTACGAGAATACCATCTAGTAATGCATTCAAAGCAAAATTTATGAACACAATCAATTGATGCACTATTAATGGCCTCTACCTGACTAAAGCAAACTGTGCAGATGTTTTCTTCTTCGTCTTGTTCCATTTGTTGTGGTTGTCCTTCTTGTTGCAATCTTATTTGTTGTAATCTTTCTTGTTGCAATCTTAAGGCTTCGAATTGTTCTCCACGTACCCTTTGATGTTCTTCTTGTGTATATGGAGCTTGGGTACGTTCTCTTTCTAAATTTCTTCTATTTGCACGTTGTTGAATTTCTTCTAATCGTTCTCTTACTGAACTTATGTAACGATTACGTTCTTCGTGCTCTCTTGAAAATCTCTCCATAAATAAATGACGGGCATTTCTACTTTCAACCACTTCTCTAAATAAATTGTCTGCATCTTCCCATTCTCTTGAAACTCTTTGTGGTTGTCTTTCTCTTTCTAATGTTTCCATAGGTACCCATTCTTGTTGCTCTCTTGCAACTCTTTCTCTTAATAAATTTTGGGCACGTTCCCTTTCTTGTTGCTCTCTTGCAACTCTTTCTCTATATAAATTTTGGGCATGCTCCCTTTCTTGTTGCTCTCTTGCAACTCTTTCCCTTTCAAATCTTTCTCTTTCTATTCTCTCTCTTTCAACTCTTTGTCTCTCTATTTGTTGTTGACGTACCCTTTCTTGACGTTCGTTTTCGATTCTTAATAAATATTGGGTACGTTCCCATTCTTGATGCTCTCTAAAGATTCTTTCTCTTTCTAAAACTTCTAAACGTTCTCTTTCTTGTCTTTCTCTGATTAGTCTTTCTGAACGTTCAGATTCTCTGATTTCTCTTATATTTATTATTATTATTATTATTATTATTATTATTATTATTATTATTATTATTATAATTATTATTATTATTATCATAATTAAAAATTATATTATTATTATCATCATAATAACTACTGTAGTTATTATAATTATTTAAAGTTATATTATTATTATTATTATTATAAATATCATTATAATTATTTAAATTATTATTATTATTAAAATTATTATTATAATTAAAATTATATTGATTATTATTATTATAAAAATAATTATTATTATTATTATTAATATAGTTATAATTATTATTATTATTATTATCATTATTATAACTATTATTATTATTAAAATTAATATTATTATTATTACTATTATTTAAATTATTATTATTATTATTTTTATTTTTATTAATTTTATTTTTATATAAACAAAAAATGATAACTAAAAAGATAAAAATGAAAATATATAGACTATCCATTTTTTTTTTTATTGAGACAAAAAAATATATGTATACAAATGTAAAGTTATTTATTTGTAAAGAAAAAAAAAAAAAAAGAAAAAAAAATTAAAGTTTTTATAATTTTAAAAAAAATTTTAATTTTTTTTTTTCAAATAAAAATTTAAACATTTCCTTTTTTATATATATTTGTAATGTGGCATTTGAAAGTTCATATATTATAATAATATTATAATAAAAGTACGGGTTTCAACCTCATTGTATGTATTTTTTTTAATTATTAAATACAATCATATAACAAATAGATATTGAATAAAATATTATAACACCTAAGAGTTCATATGAAAATGTACCAATGTCAAAAATTCAAAACATCAACAATCATTAGCAATTTAAATAGTTCAATGGGTGAAAGTGAAAAAATATTCCTATGTCCAATATGCAAGCAATCAGTTAAATATAGCACAATTAAATCAATTTCATTTAAAAATAAAATCTATAATTATCCATTATCACCATCAATCTCGCATACTAGCCATACAAACAATCATTCAGCTAATAGTAATAATACAGTAAATAACAACAGCAATAGCAACAACATTAAAATAAAGAAGCCTATTTATGATTCAAGTAATTGGAAATGTAGTACTAAAATTGATTCATTGCTTGATGAATTAAATATAGTATTAAAGAACGAGCCAGATTCAAAATGTTTAATTTTCTCTCAATGGACATCAATGTTAGATTTAATCGATATACCATTAAATATCAACTCTATGCCGTTTGTTAGATTGGATGGCAAAATACCACAAAAACAAAGAGAAGTTGCAATTAAAAGATTTAAAGAGGAACCAAGTATCAAAATATTTTTAATTTCAATTAAAGCTGGTGGATTGGGTTTAAATTTAGTTGTTGCTTCACATGTGATCCATGGTGGAACCCTGCTACCGAAGAGCAGGCTATAGATCGTGTATACCGTATTGGTCAAAATAAAAATGTTAATGTCATTAGATTCCTTATTAAAGATTCAATCGAAGAAAAGATCCTAGAGCTTCAGAAATCTAAAAAAGATTTAGCTAAAGAGGCATTAACAATGAAAAAACAACCACAACAAAGAATCGAAGAACTTAAACTATTATTTGCCGATTAAAAAATAATTTTTTTTTTTTTTATTATAATAAAACAATTTACAGAAAATATCATATACAACAATATTACAAATAATATAAAGAATAGAAATAAAATTTTTTTTAATTATTTTATTAAAAATTTTTACTTTTTTTATTGATTTATTTAATTTATACATAAATATAATTTTAAATATAATTTCAGTTTTTTTTTGTTTGAAAAGTGTTTAATATCACAATTTTTTCATTAGAATCAATGTAAAAGTTATGTAAATATGGGGTATTTCTTATTTTATTTGAAAATTATTTATGTTCATTTAGTCTGAACTGAAATTAGTACTGATGGAGTCTTATAAGGACCAAATAACCTTGGTTATACATCATGGAGAGGACATTTTCAATTAATTATTAATAAACTTTGTCTCTATAAATAATTTTATTAAAAATATATAACTAATTTATTCAATTAGAATTAAACTAAATATATATTAAAACTTGTATTAAAATAATTAATTTATCTTTTTTTTTTCAAATCTTTTTTTTACAATCTAATAGCTTGCCTAGGTAATATGGATATCGATCGAGAGGGAATTTAATGAAATTTTTAAATAAAACAAAAATATTTAATTAAAATTTTAAATCTAAATTTCAAATAAAAAATAAGGTTGAAACTATTTAATCAAATGAAATATATTATAATAATATTAAAGAAAAATTGCCTTATTTGACAATTGTTTTTTTGTTTTATTTTATTTTTTTTTTATAATTTTTTAATTTTTCAAAAAAAAGAGTTTTTAAAATTTTTTTTTTTTTTTATTAATTAAAAATTATAGCAATCACAACACACATATAAATTTTCATACAGCTTTGTTTTTTTTTAATAATTTCATTCACTAAATAATATTCGTTTTTACACCCTTTTGCATATTTTTTATTTTGTAAATAATATATATCTTTTTTTTTTTTTTTGTAAATATTAAATATTTTTTGTTTTTATATTTTCATTTTATTTTATTTTTGTAAATATATTTTTTGTTTTTTATATTGTAAATAATATATATTTTTTATTTTTTTTATTTGTAAATATTAATTATTTTTTGTTTGTATATATTTTTTTGTTTGTATATAATTTTGTTTTATTTTATTTTTTATTTTTTTTTTTGTAAATTATATATATATTTCTTTTGTTTTTTTATTTGTAAATAGTATATATTTTCATTTAATCAGTTTTTTGTTATCTTTTATATTTTTTTTTTGTAAATAATAAATTATTTTAAAAACAAAAATGTATGATCTTTTATACATGTGTGTATTTTTATTTTGTTGTTACCATCTGTTATAATTTATCATTTTATATTGGTAATTTAATATTCAAAAAGACCGAAGACAGATGGGTAAACGCTGACGGCCAATGGATCAGTGAAGAAAATTACTGGGCAAGTCAGGTACTCCAACAACAGGAGCAACAACAACAAATCCAACTACTCCAACAAAACCAACACCTCCAACAAGAAAAACAAAACCAACAACAAGAACAAATCCAACAACTCCAACATCTCCAAAAACTCCAACAACTCCATATTAACCAACAACAAGAACAACTCCAACAACTCCAACAAAACCATCAGGACCAACTCCAAAAACTCCAACAAAACCACCAATTCCAACAACAAAAACAACTCAACCAACTACAACAACTCCAAAAAAACCTAAAACTCCAAAAACTACAACAACTCAAACTAAATGAACAACTCCAACAACTCCTATCACAACCAAAGCAACCGGAAAAACCACAACCACAACAAGAACAATCCCAACAACAACAACAGAGACAAGATACACAACAGGGACAACAACCACAAAACCAAAATGTCCCAGCTCCACAAATTAGCCAAGATCCAAAAAAGCCAAACGACATTGATTTAACTTTGGTCAATTCAAATGGAAAACTAAGTATTCAACCAACCCCATGGATTGAAATAGAAAAGGCCTATTTACGTTTAAATGAACGTATAGAACTTTACCAATTGATGCCAAAAAATGAAATCCCAGGTGATGGTAATTGCCAAATGCATGCATTATCAGACCAGATCTATGGTGACTTACTCCATAGCAAATTAATTAGATTTAGAATTGTCTGTTGGCTTAGAAGAAATAAAGGCTTTAAACTTCCAAATGGAGCCACTCTCTCTGACTTTATCACTACAAACAGTTGGGAGGAATACTGTAATAATATGTCTAAAAATGGCACATGGGGCGACCATTTAACATTAGTCGCAGCAGCTGAAGTTTTTAAAAGAAGTATTTCTATAATCTCATCAGTTGAATCCCAGAGTAGTTTTTTCATAGATATTACTCCAAAAAGTAAAGAAGACGATAATGCAATTTTATTATCACATTTTGCAGAATTCCATTACGGCTCTTTATGCCAATTGGTAGATTAAATTATTCTATTGGTAAAGTATTTTATTTTCCCACTATTTTTTTTAAACTTTTTTATATTAATTTATTTTATTTAATACATTATATTTTAGCCATTTTTTAAAACGTAATCAAGTAATACATATAAAAAAATATTTTTAATTAATGCAAATAATACGTTATATATTTCAAGTAATCAATCATACTTTGGAGGGTTCCATATATTCTATTAAATCGGGTTCCGTATAATCTTTCTAATTGTAGTTACAAGTTATTCATCAAACACTGGGGTTTTTTCAGGTTACTCAACACACATTGGGGGTTCGATATATTCATTTTAATCGGGGGTTTCAAGTCATTCATTAAGCATTGGGGTTCAATATATTCTTTCAACATATTCTTTTTAAATTGGGTTTTCTAGTCATCCATCAAACATTTGGGATTCAGTATTTTCTTTTTAATCGGTGTTTCAAGTCATTAATAATACATTGGGGTTTTCAAGTCATTCATCAATCATTGAGGTTCAGTATATTCTTTTTAATTGGGGTTTCAAGTCATTCATCAAACATTGGGGTTGTTTTTAAAATCTTTCATCATACATTGAGGGTTGTTTTTCAAATCTTTCATCTTACATTGGGGTTTAGTTTATTCTTTTATTTATTGGGGTTTACTTAATTCTTGTTAATTGTGTTTTTCAGGTCATTCATTATTCATTGGGTTATTTGTCTTTAAAGGTATTTATAAAGTTAATATTTTTATAATTGTTATTATTATTTTTGAATATAAAAGAAACTAATATTTAATTTTAAAACTTAAAAAGATTTGAATACTTTCTATTTCAACACATAATAATATAAATATAAATAATAATATAACGAAAATGATAATAATGAAAATAAAAATGATAATAATATATATAATAATCACTTTCAAATAACGATTATAATAATAAAACAAATAATGGATAAGATTATATTATAAATAATAATGCAAAATTCGATTCAGACAAGGAAAAAGATAATTGAGTAAATAATATTAATATGGAATAATAATCATCAAAATAATCATGTCATATAAAAATAATAGCAATCCATCCAACTCTATTCATTCATCAATTCTTTATGCCTTCCAAATCTAAATCCAAGTTAATCAATTTGAAAAAAATCGAAATTTCGATTCTAAAATCTATTTACCCAGAATTAATTGCATTCTTTCCTATAAAGTTTATTTTCAACAATAGGTTATTCTATCACCATTTATCAATTAAATACCATCAACAAAAACAATTAACACTTTCATCCGTTTTATTAAGTACAAATTAATGTCCTTTGGTCACAGATCCGGGTTCACCTTTATCATCAATTTTATCATTTATTATTATTACATAGAATTAAAAATTCTCCATCCCTAGTTAATTTTCTATACATTATCAAAAAATCATCACAATAAACTTCATAATAACTATTTAATTTCTTTTTAATTTTATTATATTTATTTTTTTTTTATTTTTATTTTATATTTATATATTTATCACGTTTCACCATAATAATTATCAATTTTAATAAAAATCATATCCATTAAATATTAAATAATATAATTCACAATCATAATTTAATAAAATCCTATGGACACAAAACAAGAAATTGAAAGAAGAGTAAAACAAAAGGTCCATGAGGCTTGGAATGAGTTTGATGAAATAGCAAAAAGAATAAATCAAACAGATTATAATGGTCCAACTCTTTTATTGACAAATTACAGCACAAATAAACAAATGATAATAATTAAAAGAGAAAAAGATGAAAAGAGACGAAAAGAAAAGGAAAGAAAAAGAAAAAAAGAAATTGAAAAGAGAAGAAAAGAAAAAGAAAGGAAAAGACAAAAAGAAATTGAAAAAGGAAATAGAATGATATACACTGAAGAGAAAATTCTTTTAATGCTTATACGAGGAGGTATAAAAGAATATCTAATCAAATGAAAGGGTTATGATGTTAAAGAGGCAACCTGAAAAGCTGAAAGTGATAGCTATTGACAGATTTGATAAACGAATATGAAAAAAGTCAAGGATCAAAATATTAAAAAGAAATAAGACAATTGAATAAATTATAGAATAAATTATAGAATAGAGTTTTATAAATTTTAAATAAAGATCTAAATTTTTATTATGATTACTATATAGTATTTTTTTTATTTACTTTGTTTGTGTTTATAAATTATCATTTCACGGACTTTGTTTGAAATGTTTGCTTGGAATTTTTTGGCATCACTTTTCTTCTTAAAGTGGAAAAACTAAATAACTAAAAAACAATTAATTGTAGGAAATAATTTATATATTATCCTATAAAAGAAAATGAATGTTTAACTTTATTTTCTTTGTTATTATTTTTAAAAATATTTAAAACATTATTAAATAATTTATTTGTGCTTAGATCTCTATATAAATCTTTTGAATCGTTGGGATATCTAAATAATGTAACTTTTTTAATTGAACTGGGTAAACTACCTTTTTTAATGGGTCTATCGAATCCATATCCAAATTTAATGACCTCTAAACCTTCATGAAATGACCCTTCTATAATTTCTTGGTTGTAATATGCCCCAAATTTAAGAATTTTCAGCGAACGCGGTAAGACACCGGGGTTTATGGCAGAAATGAAATCATTACCAAAAATAAGAGTATGTAAACTTGATGGCAATGAGTTTGGAAATAGATCTTTCGAATAATAATAACCAAATTGAAGATAGGTCAATGTGCATGGTAAATCATTTGGTTTAATAACTTGATTAAAACGACCATAAAACGTTAATGATTCCACACCAATGGGCAATACACCAGGTGATAAAGGTGAGTTAAAATGACTATAAATAATTGTAATTGTTAATTACTAATGCAATGATAATAGAGTATTGTTTAAAGTATAATTTACCTTCCAAACTCTAGTACTTTTAGAGAACCTGAAGATGGCAGATCGTTTACTCTAAGAGGGACACCATGGTTGGTAAAACATGTATTAAATGAAAGTGATGTTACATTCGGTGGGATGAATCCTTCTTTTAACCTTTGATCAAATGTTTGATTAAAATGAATTGTTCTAAGTGATGAAGGCAATACATTTGGCTCTATAATATGTGTCATAAAATTGTTTTTTAAATCGAGTATTTCTAATGATTTGGGTAAAACATCTATTTTTATTGGTTTATCAAATACCCCAGTAATCTCTAATAAATATACAGTGTCTGGTATATCTCCTACTTTTATTTCTTCATTATAATCTAAAACTATTTTTAATAAACTATTTCTATTTGTATAATTAATTAAATCTAATCTGTTTTTGAATATTATTTTTCTATTATTTTTATTATGTTTTAAAATTTCTTGTTTTAAATATGAGTTTCTCCATATTTTATTTAAAAAATCTTTGTCACTATCACTATTACTGTTACTATTACAATTACTATTACTATTACTATTAATGTTATTATTATACATTTAATATGGATTTATAAAAAAGAAAATAACCAAGAAAATAAAAATAAAATATCTCAAAAATTAAAAAAAAAAAAATTTAGATAAATTTGCACCATCAAACAATTATTTTTTATTTAAATAAAAATAATTTTTTTTTTTTTTTTAATTTTCGAGGTAAACCAATTATTTTTTTTTTATTTTTTTTATTTTTTTTATTTTTTATTTTTTTATTTTTTTTTTTTAAATAGTTGTAAAATGATAATAAATATTTCCAAATTAAATTCAGAAATAATTTATGAAATTTATAGCAAACAATGTCAGATAGATAATAACGAAGATATAGAAAATGGACACACCATTGACCATAAAGATTTTTGTAAATTTTTTTCAAATAAACTAAAAGAAATAATAAACAGTAATAATAATAATAATAATAATAATAATAATAATAATAATAATAATAATAATAATAATAATGAAATAATAATAAACTTTTTAAAAAATCTAATAAATAATTTTTATTTAATATTTAATAATAAACTTATTAGTTGTGTATCATCAACAATAACAGCAACACCAACAACAACAACAGATAGTTTAAAAACTATTCAAAATAATTTTAAAAATCTAAACATCAAAACCTATAATATAAATAACGAAAATCATCCACTGATTAGAGAATTAAAAGATAAAATAAAAGAAACTTTTAAATTACTTTTAATATATTTAAATGATATAAAATTAGTTAATGAAATAAAAGAAATTATAGAATCGATAAAAGATATTAGCAGTAGTAGCAGTGACGACAATGAAGGTTCTCTAGCTTTTAAAAATAAAATTTTGGTATGGTTCAAAGCATCGTTTGATAATTCAATTGTAGCAAGCATGGAAATGATAAAAAGAGAGGATTTGTTAAACCAATACAGTTCAGATAATAATAGTTTAGAATATGTTAAATCCACAGAAAACCAAAGAGTCATCAAAGTGTATAATGAGAGCGGTGGTGGTTTAGAAGAGTCTGAAAATACGCAATATAGGTTCGATGTTATTGATGAATATGAAGCATTTTCGCATCCATTTATATACAGTGTCAAGAGTAGATGGTATAACAACTCATCATTCAAGAGAGGCAGCTATTCAGTGGTTCCAAATTTAGAAATATTTAAGAAATCATTTTCATTATTTACAAACGATATATTAGATGGCATAGAGTGGAAAAGCGACAGTAGCGACGGCAATCACTCAACAAAAGTATTGGTTTATGGTGGCTCTGTATTATGTTGTTTAGAGTCATACCCAAAAGATATCGTTAGAATGTATTGTGAAATGCAGCAAATAGAACGTTTAGTTTCAAAACTACCATTACCAAGATATCTCAGTAAACAGATCTCAAGAATGGCACTTTGCGACCACCCATTCATTCAAGAGACATTAGATAAGCAGTCCAGCCCAGACTCACCCTATTATAGATCCGATATAGATATTGCGTTAGTATCAAATGATTTAGAAGAGGCAAAATTAAAACTAAAGCAGGTAGCATCAAAGATAACAAGTAACCTGGAGGCTAAAAACCAACAATACCGTCTCGTAAGAACACCAAATTCCATCAGTATAGTATCAGAGGGAAACAGAGTTATTCAGCTAATCATTATGTTTTACAGATCTATTGAGGAACAAATATTATTTCATGATATGGATTGTATATCGACATGCTTTGACGGATCAAATGTATATATCCACGAAAGAACTCTGCGTGCATTAAATAGACGTACCAATTTAATTTCAATTAAATCACTTACCAGCTCCCACTCTAGAATTCTAAAATACGCTCTAAGAGGATTTAACTGTATATGTTTCCAACATTGTGACCACATACCAAGATGCGACAGAAAAGAAACACCATTTAGCTTTTCAAAATCATTAAACAAATTAACTTTAGAAAAACAAAACCGAATTCTTTCAAATCCCTCCAATCCAATCGGCAAAAAAGATTTATTAGAATACCAGGCCATTGACTTTCCTCTAGTTCCTTCAAATCAAAATAAATTTAATCAAGTATTACAATTTTTAGATGAAAATTTACCAAGTCTATACAGCGAATCAATCGACCCATTATTCGAAGTTCAACCAAATCAAAAAACTAAATTTGGTATATTAAAAAACTTTCAATATAAAAATAATATTATTGATCAATAAAATAAATAAACAACAATATTTTTATTTTTAAAAAAAATTTTAAAAAATAAAAATACATTTTTTATTTAAAATATCAGCAACATTATGAAAATAATAATGTTTATCTATTTTATAATAAATATATATCAGAGATTTGAAAAAAAAAAGATATTAGTGTCAGTTTATTTTTTGTTTTCTTTATTTTCAAATAAAATAAAGAATGAACCATGTCTTTTTTTTTTATTTTTTTTTTTTCATTTATAATTTATATTAACCAGTTTGTCAATATGGTTTTTAAATGTAGAATTAACTACACCCACCAACAGTTTATTATTTTTGTGATCTCCATTACATCTCGTTGTGCACCCACATAAAAAAAAAAAAAAATAAAAACACCCACATTTTTTAATGTTTTAAAAATAGGAGACACATCAATTGTTTTTATTAATTTTTTATTTTTTATTTTTATTTCTTTATTTTTTTTTAAATTTCTTTGTTGTTATTTAAAAGCAGTCAGTATCAATACTCCTTTAATTTATTATTTAATCCCACTCTAATTTAAATAATATATTATTAACTCTTAAACACACACACGTAAACACACACTCAAAAAATTAAAAAAATAACTCTCACTCATTTTAATTTTTTTTATAATATATCATCATTAATTAAATCACAAATAATTATAACCACATGTTTTAATTTGGTGCTGTTTATTATAATTAAATAGAAATATGATAAAAATAAATACAGTTGTCGAGATTAATTCACTACTTTATTAGAAATCACCTATAGTACCACACTTTATTTGTTATTGTAATTGTAACAAATAGGTTAATTATATCACCAAAATCCAATTTAAATATTTCAATTTTAAATTATTATTTTTTTTTTTTTTTATTTTATTATTTTTTTTTTAATTAATCAAAAACCCAAATTTTGTTCCTTTAAATTCAATAAATATTATTCATTATTATAATAATAAATAAAGTTATCATATAGAGTATATATCACTTACAATTATTATATATATATATTAATCATAAAAATGACAACAATAATCCATCAGCAAATAAGCCACAATAAAAACAACAATAATAATTTTATATTAAATTTAAATAATGATAACGAGAATAATGATAATAACTATAATATAGTAAAATACCGAGACAAATTAATAGAACTAAAGCTGTGGCAGATCAATGAAGATGATTTAAAGTATACATGCAAATTGGGCTCATCGGCATTTGGTAAAATGTATAAGGGTGTATATAAAAGCAATAAGGTATCGATTAAAATATTTGGTCAAGTCAGATTAGAAGAGTTTATAAACGAATACAATATAATGCAGAGTGTGCGTTCGCCATTTTTAATAAAGTTTTACGGAATAGTACTGGAACCACGTTTATGTTTAGTGCTAGAGTACTGTGGACGTGATTCATTGTACCACTTGATGAGCTCTGCTAAAGGAATGGTCGATTTCTCGTGGTCTAGATTCCTTCAATTCACAATGCAAATATCGTTGGGTGTTCAATCACTACACAATAGGAAAATGGTGCATCGTGGTATAACATCGCTAAATTTATTTGTAAACGAAGATTGGGAATGCAAAGTATCCAACTATGGTAAATATAGATTCAATCCATTTAATGGATCTCATAGAACCAATGCATTTTGTTCACCAGAGTCCGCAGAAAATGAAAATGACGATCTAGATTCGAATCCATTACTTTTAAAAGAAGATATTTATGCTATAGGTATTGTAATTTGGGAATTGATATCAAGAATGGTCCATGGTGAGTACCAACATCCTTATTCTGAATATGACTTTATTAAAAATGATTTTCAAATCATGCTACATTCCAAAAATGGTCTAAGACCCACTCTACCCCCACATCAAACCCCTGAAGAAATCCAATCGCTCTATTTAGAATGTGTCGACCAAGATCCATCCAAAAGACCATCAATAAACCAATTAATAGATAAATTAAATAATTTAAGACAATTATATTTAAAATCGAATTGGGATAAATTTTTAAAAAAATAATAATAAAACAATAATAATTTTTTTTATTTTATTTTTACTTTTATGTTTTAAGTTATTTACAATTATTTATTTATTTTTTCTCTAAGAGTATATATATATTATTTTATATTTTGCACATTTTATTTCAAATAATCCTTTGTTTTTTTGTTATTAAATTTTATATTCTACCAAAGTTTAATTGCGGCATTTTTGAAACCAAATAATGAAAAAAAATTTGAAATGATTGATTTTCCTAATGTTAAACCAAGGACTAAAAAAAAATTATGTGTAAGTATGTCGTAAAAAACATGGTTTATTTTTTTATTATAAATTTAAATATTACAAAATAATAATTGTTTGGTTTTTTTATAGTCTTCCAATTCTCTTTGTTTTTGAGTTTTGGTCATCTTTGATGTATATATATGATGTTTGTGAAAATTGATAAAAAAAAAAAAATTAAAAATTAAAAATTTAAAAAAAATTAAAAATTTTGAAAATAAATTTAAAAAAAAAAAAAAAAGGTTGCATTGCGAACAAAAATAATTAAAATCATAATTAGTTTATTTATTTATATAAAAATGTGAATCATTTATTATTGAAAAACCACCTTCATTACATTTTTCCAATTTTCAGAAATATTTCAACTAAATATATAATACTTACATATAAGTATTTGTATCATATATTTGGTTGAAATAGTTTTGAAAATTATAAGTAAATAAGAAGATGCTATAACTCTTTAAAATTTTCACTTTGGATATCTGATTTTGATAAATGGTCAAGTAAATTTAAAAATACATAAATATTAGAACGACACATTTGTATAAAAGCAGTTCCCGATGATCAAAACATTTGATTTTAATTTCAAATTTTTGATTATTTGTCTTATTAACACCTGATTTAATTGTTAGCTCTTTTCGTGATATCTTTAGTACATATAAAAGTGTCTATATCAAACAATTAATTATCTCTTTATCTTTTTTTTTTAGTTAAAATTAACACACACACACATATACAAACTACTTTTTTTTTTTTCAAAAAAAAATTATTATAATAATAAAACAATATTTTATTATCTTTTATTTTATTATTTGAGTTAAATTAAAGATTATTTAATATAAAACTTTTTTATAAAATTAATTGAAAAAAAAAAAAAAAAAAAATTTATTTTTAATTTTTTTTAATAAAATTTTTTTTTTTTTGCAAACCAATAAAAAAAAAGGTAAATAATATCTTTGAATTTCTTTTTTATTTTTTATATAAAAATACTTCCTCTATTTTTTTTTAATTTATATTTATCTCAAGATATAAAAAACCATAGTTATTATCAAATTTACAATTTTTCATTCAAATGCTTTAGTAAGTAAAAAAAAAAAAAAAAACATTTTTATCATGTGTGGTAAAAAGAAATATTAATGAATGAATGTACACTACCCCACTAAAAATAATATTCCCCGCAAATACTTATCCAGTGTAATTCATAAAAAAAAAAAATTTATATTCTTCTGTTATTTAAATAATTTTTTTTATTTTTTTTTTTTTTATTTGATTTTTTTATTTTTTTTTTCTTTTAATTCTATTTTTATTACTTGCATCCTTTTTTAGAAAAATGAATATATTAAAAAAAACTTTATTAATATTTTCAATTTTTTTTATACTCGGAAATTTAATTTGTAATTTAGATGTATAAAAAAAATAAAATAATATAATTCTAATATAGTTTTTATTTTATTATAACAGCATCACAAGATACCATTGATTTGACAGGGATTATTTATGATCAATCTCCTGCTAGAAATCGTAAGTATCATATAATTACTAAAAAAAAAAAACACATATTAATTTCATATTTTTCATTCCATAGCTGACTTTGAAATTATTCGTAAGGGATTTAAAAAAAAAAAAAAAAAAAAAAAAAAAAAAAAATAATAATTTAACCCTTAAAATTTAAATTTTAGCAATTTCTCCTGGAGTAACTACAGGGATAGTATTAGATACTGTAAATATTTTTAATTTTAGAAAATTCTTAATATAAACTAATATTTTTTTTTTTTTAGCTCGGAGCCGATGGAACACCTCAATATTGTTGTGGAGATAACCCGGTTATGAGAGGTAATACTATTGTTGTTCACAACCAAACCACTTTCAGTAGTTGGTTCCATCCTGCAAGTGGTATTAATCTTGGAATGCCAATTACAATTACTCTAACAAGAGATGTAAATGGGATTTATACTCATCAATCCCAAGCATTTTTCCCAATAGGTATTATTATATATATATATTATTATATAACTATAATCATTCACTAACTTTTAATTTTTTTAACTATAAAAAATTTATTAAAATGTAAAAAGATGGTAAAGGTTTTGACAACATAACCAACTATCCAAATGAAGTCCATTATTTTGGTCACAACTTTCATTTTTGGTAAGTTTTTAAAAAGAAATATTATTTTAAAAAAAAATATTAATTTTTTTATTTTTTAAAAAGTTTGGAAATTCATTATTCATTTATATATAATACTGGCCAATACTTTGTAAGTTCACTACATTTTATTTATAATTATAAATATTAATTTTAAATATTAATTCTCTTTATTTTCTTAATAAAAAAAATTTTAAAAAATAGACTTTTATTGGAGATGATGATGTATGTTTTTATTTTACTTTTTAAAAATTCTTTTTAAACTAATTTTATTTTTAAAGGCTTGGATATACGTTAATAACAAATTAGTTATAGATATTGGTGGTATTCATTCAGGTGCAGCGCGTACTGTTATGTTAGATCAATTAGGTTTAACAATAGGTCAAACATATCCATGGGATTTCTTTTATTGTGAAAGACACACAACCGACAGTACTCTAAATATTGAAACAAATGTAATTTTCCAATGTGATTATTATGACAGTTGCAACGTTTGTCAAGGCAAAAACGATACATGTTGCTATGAAAGTAAGTTCAAAAAAAAAATACAGATTCTATACCAAATACTAACTCTATTTTTGAAACGAAATTTAGATAAATGTCTTATAGTTCCAGATCCATGCGGAATTTATGATTGTAGTCCAGAAACAAATTTCAAGTGTCAAAGACATGTTCTTGACTGTGATAATAGCGATGTGTGTACCAGTAAGTACTATTACCATAATAATTTCTATAAAAGACAATTTTAATTTTTTTAAACATACTGTTAATTTTCTAAAATTAAAAAATTAGGATCAAGATGTATTATAGGAGTCGGTTGTGAATATTCAAACAAATGTGATGACCTTAACCCATGCACCATAGATAGCTGTGCAGCTATAACTGGAGCATGTACATACTCCCCAGTTTCTTGTGATGATAGTGACAGTTGTACAAATGATTTATGTGATCCAATAAGTGGTAGATGTGTTCACATGCCGGTCTCTTGTGATGATGGTGATGAATGTACAAATGATCACTGTACTCCAGTAGGTTGTTTACACACAACAAAGAACTGTATGGATAGTTTAGGTTGCACAGGTAAGACCAATTAATTTTAAAAAAAAAAAAAAACCTTTATTAATTTTTTCTATAAACAGTCGATACATGTAATAGTGCAACTGGTTGTGTCCATATGCCAATAGTTAACTGTACTGAATGCCATGACTCTGATGTTGCAGATTGTACCACCACAGACTTATGTTTCCCAAAGGTATAAATATATTATTAATTAAATATTTATAATAATATTATTATTAATTTTTATTTTATTTTTTTATGTATATTTAGGTTTGTGATCCCTTAAATAACAATGAATGTATTACACATGTAGTTAATTGCTCTATTTTTGATACGGATTGTAAGTTTTTTTTTTGTAATAATTTGAAAATTTAAAAATAACTATTAACTTTACAACTTTTAGGTATTGATGTCAAATGTGTAAATGGAGAATGTAAATTAACATATACATGTGAAACACCAACTCCAGTACCACAAAATAGATACCACATTGATGCACCTCCAAAAGATCTCTTATCATCATGTTTAGTTTGTGAAGACCTTAACTGTAAATCCCAAGTATCAGATTATGGCCAATTTGGTTCGTGTACCTATGTAAAGAATGACTTGTATGATGAAGATAATTGCGAAAACTGTTGTTTATGGATCCCAACTTGTTTCTATGATAATTCACTCCCATGATGATGCATTTGCATCGGCCGATGATAATGCCCTATGATATTATTATTACTATCTATATTATTTTCTATATTGTTTAAAAAAAAAAAAAAAAAAAATCGCAAATAAAAAAAAAATTATAAAAAAATATTTATAAAAATATGATTTTAAAAGATCCATTTTTATAAATAAAAAAAAATAATAAAATATTTATAAAAATAATATTTTTGTATTAACTTAATTTTATTTAAATATTAGTTTATTTCTTCGAGGTGATTTTCTTTTTCATCTTTATTTTCTTCAATAATAACACTATTTTCATCATCATGTTTATTTGTACTGATACTGCTATCCTCTTCTTGAATTGAGCTTTCATCATCGTACTTATTAATTAGGTTTGTGTTATTATTAATATTATTTGGTTCTATTCTTTCATTTTCTTCAGTTGTAATTATACTTGTTTCACCAATCTTTGAAACGAAAAATTCATTTTCTTTTAAACCTTGCTTTTGAGATTCTTCATATAATTTCTTTGGTGGCTCTAATAGCGGTTCACATGTCAATATGAATGTGCCCCAATGAACACCGAATGAACGTTTTGATTTAATTTCTTTATGAATACGTACTGCTTCTTCTGGATCGATGTGATTGTGTCTCATAAATTCTCTAACCATATCATAGGCACCAATTGGAATCAATGCAAAATTGAATGGTCCATAGTGATGTCCAATAACCTTGAATAATTTATCGTTATAAGCTGTATCACCTGCAAAATAAAATGATTGATGTTTTCCTTTAACAATCCATCCACCCCATAGTGTTTTGTTTTTATCGAGTAAACCTCTGTTTTAAAATAATAAAAATATTAATATTATAATACAAATTGGTTTGGAAAAGATTAAAGTATTATTACCTTTGTGAACTATGATTAACTGGTGTATAAATTAATTTTAAATTATCTTTGAATGTGGTTTCTTGCCACCAATCTAACTCTTCGACATCTGTAATACCTGAATCTAAAAACCATTGTTTCATACCAAATGGAACAAAGAATTTTGGTTTAAAAATTTTATTGATTTCACAAACTGAATTATGGTCTAAATGATCATAATGTGTATGACTAATAACTACAAAATCAATTTTTGGTAATTCTGAAATTTTACATGCTGGTTTGCTAAATTTTAAAAGATTAGTATACCAATACTATACTATTGCCTTAAAGTGTATTTTAAAATACATACGTATAACGGGCAGGACCTAAAGGAAGCGAAGGAAATGGTGTGCATCTTTCTGACCAAACTGGATCAGTTAAGAAATTATAACCCTCTATTTGGACCAATACGGTACTATGGCCAATCCAAGTCGATCTAATTGTAGTTTCATGATTGTATTCAGATGATAAAAGTTGAAAATCTGGTTTTAAAACTGGATGTAATACAGTTTTTTCATGTTCTGTTAATGGTTTAATTGGATGGAATTGTCTACGTTTTCTAAACCAACTAAATACTTCTGATGTTGATACAATGTGTCCGAATGGGTTTTCATATCTTCCATTAACTAATTTTGATTTAATTCTTTCAAATTCTTCAACACTATTATTTATTGGTTCCATTTTATTTTAATTTTATTTTTTTATTAAAAGTGTGTGTATTTCGAAATATTTTACAATTATTTAAATATAAATAAAAAATTTTGAGATTGTGGAAAAAAAAAGAAAAGAAAAACAAACAAACAAATAAATAAATAAATATATATATAATACAAAGTAAATATAAATTATAATTTAAAATAAATTAATTAAATTTTTAATTAAATATAAAATAAAAAAAATAAAAAAAAATAAAAAAAAAATAAAAAAAAATAAAAAAAAATAAAAAAAATAAATAAAAAAATAAAAAAAAAATAAAATAAAATTTTTTTATTTTTTTATGAACAAATTTGTTTCCTTTCACACCAAATCGTTTGTTGTAGTATAAGTGTTACCTTCTTTTGCATTATTTAAAAATTACAGGTATATATTATTTATTATATTTTATTACAATAATAGATTAAAAATTTTAAATGCTATATCTATTTTAAAATTCTTTTTTTATTTTTTTATTTTCGTTAAATGTACAAAAGTATTTTGTTATTTTTGTTGTAACTCTTGTTGTTGTAAAAAATGTAATATGTTTTGTGTGTATGCTATAAATAAATGATTGTTATTTCAAAAAAAAAAATTCAAAAAAAATATTTTTTCACCAAACACAAAAAAAATCAATTTGATTTTTTTGTGTTTAATTTTTTTTATTAATTTTATTAAAAAAAAAATTTGATTTCTTTTTTTTATAATTTATAAATATTTTTAATAATTTATTATAATATTATAAATAATAAATTAATAATTTTATAAATTTATATATTTGCTAATATATTAATGGATAATAGTAGTGATAGATTTTTAACTATATGGAGATCCATAGTTATTAGGAATGTAATACAAAAGCATTTAGAATTGTTTAAATTAAATAGGAACAGGGTTTTAGTTTTTTCAAGAGAAAGGTTTTTGGAGTCGGAAAATCGAGATTATTTTTCAAACTTATTTATAAATATCAACAGTGAAGATGGAGAAGAAATTATCCCTGGAGATTTACCATATGGTTGTCGAATTTTAGTTTTTGGTGAAAGATTTAAACAGGAATTAAAGCCAGATACTATTCCACCTTTTGTGCAAAATCTTACATTGGGTTTTCATTTTAATCAATCTCTAACTAATAAAATTATTCCAGAGAGTGTAAAGATATTAAAGTTGGGATATAAATTTAATAAAGTTATAGGTGTATCAGATATTCCATTATCATTAGAAGTTATTATGTTTAGTGAAGAATTTAACCAGCCTATAGCAGTTGGTGTTTTAAATAATTGTGTAAAGTTACATACGATCAAATTTGGTGAAAGCTTTAATCAAGTAATAAAAGCAGGGGTACTACCACCAAATTTAACAAGTCTAACTTTTGGTAAGCATTTTAACCAACCTCTTGCTATTGGAGTCTTGCCATTAAATCTTGGTGTCTTGAAATTTGGTGACGAGTTCGATCAACCACTTAAATCATCCATTATTCCACCATTTGTACATACTCTATCACTTGGTAATTCCTTTGATCAGGTTTTAAAAGAAGGTTATTTGCCTCAAGGACTTAAGGTATTAATATTTGGATGTGTATTTAACCATCCAATAAAGAGTGGTGTAATTCCAGAGGGTTGTCAATCTTTAACCTTTGGGTTTGGCTTTAATCAAACCATTAAACCAGGGGTTCTACCATCAAATATTCAAACACTCACCTTTGGTTGGTCTTATAACCAGCCAATAAAGAAAGGTTTGGTTCCAACGAGTTGTCAAGAATTAACATTTGGTTCAGAATTTAACCAACCTATAAAAAAAGATCAAATCCCAGAAAAAGTGCACACTATCAATTTTCCAAAAAGTTATAGTCATGGTATTAATGATATTTTTCCAAAGAGCGTAAAAAAGTTAACATTTGGTAAAGAAGTATTTATAATAGATTAATATAGCCCACATAATCAAATCAAAAATGTAATATAGATGTAGTAATAAATAGAAAACATACAAATAAAATAAACAGATAAATAAATTTTATTTATTTTTTTTTAATTAAATTAACTTTATAAATTGATAAAATATTTCATCTAGTTGATCTAAAAATATTGAATTTGTTGATAAAGTTGTAATTTTTTTTAATTTATAAAAATTATAATCTTGTTTTTTGTTATTTTCATTATGATATTGGTCATAGGTTGATGTTACAATTTTTGCTTGTGCATCATTTATAATTAAATGTTCTAAATTTTGAAAGACTTCAAGGTCAATGGTGTCAGAGAATGGATAGCATAGAGCCAAAGTTTTGATGTTGTTATTGAGTGGTATATCTCTTCCTGGGACAAAAGTTTCATTATAAACAAAGCTGCTCATATCTAAATACTCTAAATTGACTTTATTGGATAGAAAGAGTAATTCCAGGGATCTGGTGTAATCTGATGGTACTTTAAATGTTCTAAGTCCTTCTGTATCTTTTTCGAATTGTCTATAGTATTTTGAGGAATCCACCAGAGTGTATGGGTTATTGAGCTTGATTGTTTTATCGTAGTATCTGTTTCTAATTTTTAAAAGCTCTAAATTATAAGGTATAGAATCTTGAATAATTTCTTTATTGAATATTTCCCCCAAGATTAGCCTTTTAAGTCCTGATGGAAGCACACCAACACCAATGGAGGTATTGAAAGAGTCACCAAAGTTAATATAAGTTAACGATGATGGGAATACCATTTCGTTTTTTATTAGGGGATATCCGCCATTGTTAAAGCCGTATGTGGATGTTGTAAAATTTGAATTTAAATCGAAACAAAGATGCTTCAAGGTGGGTGGCAGATGATTTAAAAGTAATTGCTGGTTGTAATTCAAACTTCCCATATACTTGAAATTTAGATACTCTAGTGAATTTGGTAAAATTGATTTTCCATTTATGTCAAGTATCTCTCTTGTGTTAAGAGTTAAAGATTTGATGTTTCTTGATTTTAATTTTGTTAGTAGCATGCTTTGATTTAGTTTTTTCGATTCGATTTCAATTGACTGTAAGTTTGGTGGAATTGCTGCAATAGTACTGCTATCATCGCATGTGATTTCAAGACGCACAAGTTGATCTGGGAATTCAAAGTTATCGGGTATTACATATCTTACATAAGGATTGCAATATAGAGAGAGCTCTTTTAAATTGTTTGGAAATAAATCTGGCTCTAGCTTGATTGGATTCGATTGGTCATCACCCAATTTTAGATTTTCTAATGATTCCGGTAGTGATTGCAGCTCGACTTCACAATATCCATCTACTACTAGCTTTTTCAATGATGTATTATTTATAGTGTCTTTTTTAATTTTGAATGGGTATCTAATTAATGTTAATTCTATTAATGTATCTGGTAACGAGTCTTTTACAATTTCTATTAATCCTTCATTACCATTAAGGTAACTGGTTTTTTTTTTACTACTATACACTATTGTTAAATATTTGATTGATGATTTATTTAGTAATTTAAATATTGGTATGTCATTTTGTGTAATGTAAAGTGATTCTATAAATGGTGGTATTGATTTTAAATTGAAATTTGAGGAATAGTCTGTATTTGAGATTTTTGTGATGTTTGTTGGTAATATCGATTCTAAGCAATCTTGATGGTCAACACTAAAATTTATATCGATTTCATTTAAATAATATTTATATTTAAATTCAATTAATGATTGTAAAGAGCTGAATTGCCTCCATTGATAAAATATATTAAAAAGCTTTAAATGATTAAAAATTATTCTATTTATATATTTATTTTTCCAAAGTTTAAAAAATAATGTATCATTATGATGATCCATTTAAATAATAATAATTAAATAAAAAAAAAATAAAAAATTTTTGGGAAATTAAAAAATAAAAAAAAAAAAAGAAAATAATTTTAAAATATATAAAATTTAATAAATATCTAAAAATTGTTTTATATTTTTATAAAAAAAAGAAGAGAAAAAGTTTTTAAAGAAATAAAAAACTATAAAACTAAAAATAGGTTTTAATTAAATTTAATTTATTAATTTTTTTATAAAAAATATAATATAATTAAAATTATTGTGTTGAAGTATGATTAACACATGATGGATAACCTTGGGTCCATACAACTTCACCATTTGAACAAATACAATCATTTTTAGTGGCAGTAAAACCTGGTAAACATTCACAATGGGAATTTGAATTACAGTTTATAAATTGACTATTTGAACAATCTTGACTGGTATAACAGGTTTCTGGATAACCTGTAACTGGATTAATTGGTGTGCATTGTGGAATACCATTGAACCAAAGAACTTTACCATCACATTTTTCACATTTATCACCTGTAAAACCAACAGCACATTGACATTGATTATCTGATTTTGGTGTATAAATTAATGTTGGTTTATTACTTTCACTACTTGGAGTTGGTAAGGTTACTGACTTGACTACACCATTGTTTGTAAATGATGAGGTGGTGGTACCTGTGGTAATGTAATATATTTTTTCACCGTCTGTAGTCATTGATGAAATACTATCATTGGTTAATTGAACTGGGTGATCTCCTTGTGTTGAAAAACCTTTGATTCCACCTTCATTTGAATAGTAAATCATATCATTGACCTTTAAAAATCCAGTACTGGTTTGGGCTGAGGAATCTGTGTAAATTAATTTTAACTTATCTTGGGTACAATTTCTGCAATCGGTATTACCTAAATAAAATTTACCATCATAGGTTGAAATATAAATATCTTTTCCATCTAAAATAATACCATTGGTGATTTGATTTTGATATAAAACTGTTGCATTTAAGAAATCGGATCTTTCTTTTGGTATAGTGTTGATCAAGTAAATACCATATTCACCGAAAACAGTCATTGTTTCTTCTTTATTAATGCCAACAGTGAAAGGAATACCCCAGATATTTAAAATTTGTTTAATAGTTGAGGTAGCTTGATCATACATGGCGTAAATGTTGCTTCCAGCTTGATAAAAGGTTATATAGAGGTAATTGTGGATTGGGGCATATTGATAAATCTTATAGAAAGTTGTAAAACCTGCTCCTGGGTATAAAATTTCACCAGATATTTTATTCTTTGTTTCTAATGTTGCTTCTGATCCATTGTTGACGTTGGTACTAAGATCAAAAATATATGGATAACCAAATGGACCATAATCACTTGAATTATATTTACCTGAAACTATTAAATTTTTATTATTTGAGTTGTATGCAATACCATAGCCTAAATTTAAAGCACCATTACATGCAGCATAGGGATAAGTACCGCACTGATAATCTTGTGTACATTGAGAGCCATAGATTATATTAAAAGTTGTTGTTAAAACAAATAAATTTAAAATTAATTTAAATTTTTTCATTTTTTAATTTTTTTTTAAATTTTAAAAAAGTTGTGTTGTGTGGGTTTAATTATTTTTGTTATATTATAAATAAATAAATAAATAAATAAATAAATAAATAAATAAATAAATAAATAAATAATTATATGATTAAATTATTGAATTATTAAATTTTAAAATTATTTTTTATTATTTCTTATTTATATTTTTTTTTTTCTTATTTTTTATCTCATCATTAATTTATTCAAATAAAATATGTGTCAAAATTATTTCTTTATAGTAATTTTAAAATTATAAATTTTTATGGTGGGGGTATGAAAAAAAAAAAATAAAAAAAAATAAAAAAAAAAAAAAAAATATTTCTTAATCGAGGAATTTGTAAAAGATCATAAATATTTTAAATATTAAAATTACTAATTGAAGATAATAAAGAAGATTACTTTTAAAACGATTCATTTTTAATTTTAAATAATAAATACCAAAGATTAATAAAACTCTGAAATTAAATTATTTGAAAAAAAAAAAGATGACCAATGGTCCTGTTGCCACATTTAACAAATATTTTTTAATCTTTTATTAGAGTTTTTACAACTATTCTAAACCAAACCAATTAAATTAATTTAAATAATAATTAAAATAATTTATTTTTTTATTTTTTTATTTTTTTATTTTTTTATTTATAATCATAACTTTCATCTTTTATGATATTTAAAATTGAATTATTATTGTTGATTAATTGTTGCTCTTTAAAACAAACTGTGTCTCCTTTGATATTATAATTAATTTTGGATGGTGATGATTTTAAACTATACTCTAAACAAAGATTTAGATTAAACTCCTTGACTTGATAATTAAATGATTTGATAGTGTTGATATAAATATTGGTTTCTGGTAAATAGTCAATAGAGAATGACAATGAATACAGGTCGATTTCACTAGAGTATGGCTCTTGTTGAAGAAGTTGCAAACCCTTGATATCTTTGCTGAGATCTGAAAAGTTTAGAGCTACATTTCTAATGGTTTTATTGTATTTTAAAATATTTGTTATTACAAATGAAAAGTCTTGATTTGAAAATGTTATGCTTTTGATTGTTTTATTATTTACTAAACCCTGAATGAAATCTGTATCAATGATTACATCATCATTTAATTGTAATTCTTGAATAGAGCTAAATGGACTGGTAAAAATAGTTCTAAAACCTTGGCTGAGGATTGAAGTATCCATACCTTTGATACATGGGCTAGCTGATTCGCAATTAAAACATCTATACATTAGTTTTAATCTTTTTAATGTTCTATTATTGGATAATTTCTCTATTAATAATGGCCAGTCCTGGTTTCCTTTTAACAGGAAACATTTGTCAGTAATTTCACCTTGAGCACCATTCGAATGCATTATAATATCATGATGATATACCCAGAGATATAGCTGTTTTAATTGAGATTCTTTATTAAATACATTTGACAAAAACTTTGGTTGCAATGGAAATCTTAATTGTTTAAGATTTTTTGATGAAGCTATTTTGGAAAAACCTTCAGAATCGTACATTATTTGATCTAAAAACTTCAAACTACATGGTTCAAATAACTCTGATACGACATTTAACAACTGTTCTTTTTGATCCGTATAATTGTTTAAAAAATAAAGGATTATTTTTTTAATATTTTTGATTTTTTCACCACCTCTTTTGAGAAGAGTGGCCTCCATCACTTGAATATCCTGTTCTGAAATATATAAATGAAAATAAACATTACTTGGGAACATTTCTATTGATTGTAAAACTATTTCTGAATCATTATAACCTGTTTTAACCAAAACCTTTTTATAAACACTTGAATCATAATTCTCTTTTGCTGATTCAATTTGATACTGTTTTAATGTGTCGAAAATTTGAACTGAATCTTTAATTTTTATTAATTTATATGATGAATTATTATTATTATTATTATTATTTTTTATTAGATTCTTTAACAAATGGTAGTTTTTAAAATTTGATTCTTGAGATAATAATCTTGATATAATTTCGTATATGCTTTTGGAAACTAAACAATATTTAATTACTTCATTGTTATTATTTGCAAATGAAAAATATTTAGATTGTATGATGCTTGGTCTGTATATATAAGTTGTAATACATTCGAAAATATATTCATATATATAATTTGGAAATAATGACATTAATTAATCTTATGTTATTATTTATAACTGATATATATAATGTTACATTTTTTTTTTGATTATAAAAAAGAAATTTGAGAAAAAAATTAAAAAAAAATTAAAAAATAATTTGAGAAAAAAAAAAAAAAAAATAAATTAAATTAAAATATCTCCTGGGGGTAAAAATATTATCACACACATTATTAATACTGTTTATATTTTTATAAAAATAATATTATAAATATTTATTATTACTCTTTTTTAAAAGTTCCAAATAATTTATCTAAATAAGTGAATGTGGGTGCATAATTTCCTTTAAAATATTTATGGTGATAGTCATGAAATTTTGAACCACCCCAAAAAGGTATTAATTTGGTGGGTAACCAGGGAATTTCATAACCAGACTGGGTTTCAATGGTTTCATAAATTTTAACAGTAATTATAAACCAAAATGTAAACAGATCTCTTTGATATAAAGATGTTCCAAAAAAAGTTAATGCTCCATAGGTAATCACTTCAACTGGGTGTGCTGTTTCTCCATGTAATCCACTGGGTGCTGAAATGTTATGGTGTGCTTTATGAATTTTTTTATAAAAAAATGGGGTGTGTAATAATCTATGAATAAAGTATGAAAAAAAATCATCAAATAAAAAACTAAGAAATGTTGAAAATAGTAGGCTTGTAATTGTAGGTAAAGGTGCTCTGACTTTATATCCCAAATACTTTAGAAGCGGTCTCATTGTGTACATCAAAGGTATATCTAGCAACAAATGATAAAATAATATAAAACTAATTTTTTTAATATTATTATCATTTTTTTTATTCTATTTATTAAAAATAAAAAATACATTAGTATTAAATATATTTAATTATAATAAAACTATATAGATTACTTTTTGGATTTTATATTTATTAAAATAAGGTATTTTATCAAGTAATATGAAGGGTATTATGAAAACTATGAATGAAAAAAAATGAAGAAATAAAGAACCGTAAAACAGTAAGTTATCTTCATCAAATTTATCCAAAAAACTATTCCAAAAAGGTTGAAGATATATTGATAAAATATTATTCATTTTTATAATTTATTTGTCCCTATTAAATTAATTTATTTAAATATTTTAAACTATTTTTAAATATTAATTTTTTAAACTATCCAAGTTTTTTTTGATAAACATTATTATTCATTCGAAAATAATGAATAAATATTACTATTTTTTAACAAACCATTTTAGCAGTTTAGGTATAAATTACTAAAAAAAAATACTCTTCAATTATTAATTGTTTTCTCAAAAATTAGGATTTAAAAAAACTATTGAATTATATTTTTAAATTTAGATCTATAAAATCCAAATATTATTCTTTCACTCAAAATTTTAGAAATATTATAACCCACACTACTAAGCAGGGTGTGAGATTTAAATTTTTTTTTTTTTTTTTTAAAATTTAAATTTCACAAAACAATATAAAATTTAATTAGGAAATTGTAAAGTTATTTCATTATTTTTCAAAACAATGGATAGTTTATTAAATACATATATTGAACCCACCTGGTTCAGTTTGGTAAACAAGTGTACTGAAGATAATTTTATTTTTTATGGAACAATATTGGCACATAGTGGATCTTTTTTGTTATTTAATATGCAATACATTTTATATGACTTAATACCATATTTCAATAAATATAAAATCCAAAAGGTAGTTTTAATTAAATAAAGAAAATATTATATAATAAATTATTAACTTTTATTTATTTTTATTACAATAGAATATAAAAAATAGCTTAAATTTTAAAAAAATTATTTTTACTCTATTTTATCAGGTTTTTCTAGATGTTTGTTTTCTGTATTTTTCAATCCCCATTTTAAAATACTTTGGATTTGGACCTAGAACACCCTTGCCATCATTGTTTTATTTCATCTCTTCTTTGATGATATGTGTGGTTTTGGATGATTTCTTTTCGTATTTTATCCATAGAACTATTCATACACCCTTCTTTTATAAGCATGTTCATAAAAAACATCACATTTTAACATCGCCCGATGGATTCAGCGCTGAATATATCACATTGTATGAGGGTTTAGCCTATGGAATGGCAACTTTTGTATGCACTGTACTTTTTCAAAGGCATTTGTTTTCTTTTTGGGCTTTTATTATTTTCAAAGTTTATGAAATCGTTGAAACCCATTCAGGCTATAATGTACCTTGGTCTCCATCAAAACTTATTCCATTTTGGGGTGGAGCAACATTTCATGATTATCATCATAGAAATTCTGTGGGAAATTATGCCTCTACATTTACCCTTTGGGATAAACTGTTTGGTACCTATAAAAATAAATAAATCTTTATATATATAATTAATTAATAAGTTAAATAATCTTTATTTTCAAATCTTTTTTTTACTAAGGAAAAGTTAACCTATATGTATTTTATTTAATTTTTTTTTTTTATATTTATTTTTTTAATTATTTTTTTTTTTTTTTTTAATTTAAAAAAAAGTATATTAAAATTTTTTTTTTTTTTATTAATTAAAAATTCTAGTTTTCACACCACACATATAGTTTTTCATCCATCAGCTTTTTTTTTTAACAATAACTTACATTTAATAATATTCACTCGTTTTTACACACACATAATTCTATTTTATTTTATTTTTTGTTTTTTATTTATTTAAATATTTTAATAATTTATTTTTACACAAAAATGAATTATTTTTTATACATGTTTATTTTATTAATTGTTGTTGCCATCTTTATTTTTTTATCATTTTGTTTTGGTATTATATTATTCAGCAAAGCCATTGGAAAAGAAGAGGGCTGGTTATGTGCTCAACAAATCAGTGAAAACCAATCCTTGGCAAAATTGAGAGATCAACAACAGGAAGAGCTCCAACAACTCCAACAAATTCAACAGGAGCAACTCCTTGAACTCCAACAATTACAGCAACTCCAGCTCCAACAACAAAAACAAAAGCAACAACAACCACTTCTTTAATTTTTTTATTTTGTTTTTACACTACACAAAAAATAATTCAAACAATGGCCAATCAATAATAATAATAATAATTAGGGAAATATTTTAAAAGCTTTCAAATACAGTTAAGTAAATAAGCACATTATTTTTTAAAAAAAACAACAAATCTATTTAGAAATAGGATTCGTTGAATAAATAAGGAGTATATGAATTTCTAACACAAATTATTTTTTATTATATTTAGTAGTTTAGATCAATATATGGTTACATATTTCATTAACAGGTTATGATAAAGAACCTGATTTGAGTAGTGTCATATATTGGTGGCTCAAAATCTGAAGCAAGAAGTAAAATTTTAGAATATTTTTCATAAAGTGTAGTGTAGAACCCATTAAAGTAGTGTATTAGAATATTTTATAGCAGTAGTGAATCATATGTTTTATCAAAATTAGAAGAATCGAGTATGTTTCTCCAAGCAGTGCAAATTCTCGATGTTATAGTCTTTTGTATCTGGTAGTCTCGTCTGATCTTTATAAATTTTGTATCAAGTGGTATATAATCGGACTCATTATTGTAGAAATCTTCCCCAGTTGGATCAAATAATAATAGCAATTTCAGAAACCAAATAAATTAAAAATAATTAAAATAAATAATATATAATTTTAAAAATCAAATAAATATGCAATTATTTCTTTGTGAATTGTATATATTTTTATTTTTTTTTTTTTTTTTAGTTCTATGTTAATTTTATTCTGTTAATCTGCAATTTCTTTTGTTAATTTATATAAAAAATTAATAGATTTTAGATTCTAAATATTAATATTTAACAATGTTATAATAATATTATAAATGAAGAAACTGTTTTTTATATAACTAATTTGTAATTTGATACTTTTATTATATGACAAATTAATATTGATTTATTTTTAATATTTACTATTGTTTTATGAACTAACCAATGTATATTTAATATAAAGGTTATATTATTTATTACTAATATACAGTATTCTATATTTGAATATTTTTTAAATTGTTTTTTCTAATTTTTAAAAGTGCCAAATACTTTATCCCAAAATGTGAAGGTTGTGGAAAAATTAGCTATTGAGTTTTTATGGTGATAGTCATGGAAAGTAGCACCTCCCCAGAATGGAATTAATTTGGTTGGTAGCCATGGCAAATCGTAACCGGAATGAGCCTCTACTGTTTCATAGAGTTTAAGCGTGATTAAAACCCAAAAAGAAAATATATCTCTATAGAATAATATTGAACCCATGAATGTAGCCATTCCAAAGACTGATGTTTCTATTGGGTGCGCATATTCTGAGTTTAATCCATTTGGTGATGTGATGGTATGATGCTTTTTATGGACATGTTTATAAACAAACGGTGTATGCAAAATTCTATGTATAAAATAGGAAAGAAAATCATCTATAATCATACACATTGCTAGAGATCCAACCAAATAGGACACTGTTGGTAATGGTGCTTTTGATTTATATCCAAAGTATTTGAATGTTGGAACTGAAACGAGCATGAATGGGATATCCATCATTAAATGTTCATAAAATAAAACATTAACAATATCTATAATTGTTGTATATTTTTTGATTTTATTCTAGAAAAATATATTAGTACGCTGGCTTTTATATAATTAAATAATATCAATAATTACCTTTTGAATTTTATATTTATTAAAATATGGGATTCTTTCTATTATTAGATAAGGCAAATTAAATATAAATAGAGAAACTCCATGTAATATAATCGTACCAAAAAATAGTAAATAATCATCATTATCGATATGATTCACTAAATTAAGCCAATAAGGTTCAATATATATATTTAATATACTATCCATGGGGTCTGTATTATTCCAATAGTGTACACTATTTATAAAGGTTTAAAAAAAAAAAAGTTAATATTATTATTATTTTATTTTATTAAAACTCTTTTATTGATTATTGAGAAATTAAATAACAAAATAAAAAAATGTTTTATTGTTTAATTCCTCTATTTAATATTCATTCCTCTTATATAAAAAAAAAAAAAAAAAAAAAATATTATTATTTAAAAATCTATAGATATCTATAAAATTTTAATTCTATATATAAATGGTGAAAAAAATTGTGTTTTTAATTAGAAAAAAATAGGATACATTAATTATACTTTTTCAAGTAATGAGATTGTGAATAAACTATTACAAAGCAGATTTTTTTATATAGCTATTATGGTTTTTTTTTTTTTTTTTTTTTTTTAAACCCCATTTTCAAAACATGTTCTTCTATTACTTTAATGTTTTTTTCTGTAGTTTCTTTGTTATTAGTTCATTCTTTACTATATTGATAATTTGTTCATTGAATTATAAAGATGGGTCTTTGGGTTATTTAAATTATAATATGAAAACTCAAGTGGTAAACATTATTATTTATAAAATGAATTAAATTTATCTTAAGTAATAAATAGTTTATAATTGGAATGCACATTGCTTAAAAAAAAATATATTGTTTGAATAAAATTTAAAAAAAAAAAAATCAATTAATTTGCGAAAAATATAAAAAAAATTGTAAAAAAAAAAAGGAAAAATATTATTTTAATTTTTTTTTAATTTGTTTTAAATAAAATGATCATTATTAAGATATTTATTTGAATTAAAAAAAAAATGGAAATAATTCAAAATACATACCTATAAATAATTTTCAACCAAATAATCAATAAATAGAGAAATGCAGACACAAGATAACAAAGATTTATTTTTAAAAGTATGGAGAAATGTTGTCATAAGAACTAGAATTTTAAAAATGTTGTCTTTATACAGATTCAACTACAAGGAATTTGATTCAAGAAAAGATTTGTTAGAGTATGCAGATAGAAATTATATAACCGATTTAAAATGCCAGTTTAATGAAGAGTTACAAGTTGGTGATATTCCTTATGGAACACGTTCAATAGAATTCTTTTCTCTGTATAACTATGAACTGAAAAAAGATGTGTTGCCACCCAATATAAAGAATATATATTTTGGTAGAAGTTTTAATAAACCAATAAAACCAGGTATTTTACCACCATCAACACAAGAAATCACATTCAACTATGATTATAATCAATCACTTATAGAATCAGCAATACCAGATGGTGTAAAGACCATTACATTTAATAACAATTTTAAAAAAACTATAAAAAAGAATGACCTTCCTCCATCATTAAAGACACTAGTAATACCAGGATTTAACCAAGAAATAAAAAAAGGCGTATTTCCACAAGATCTAGAATATTTATCACTAACAGACTTTAATCAAACAATTAAATCTGATCAATTACCTCCATCATTGAAATTTTTACGTTTAGGTGATCACTACAATAGTCCACTAAAAGTAGGCTCACTTCCCATGGGCTTAGAGACCCTCATTTTTGGTTCACATTATAACCTTCCACTTAAAAGAAATGTAATACCATCATCTATACGTACAATAATATTTTCTTCATTTGACCATCCACTCAAAGAGTTTGACTTACCATTGGGTTTGCATACATTGATTCTAGGGTATTCTTTCAACCAACCGCTTAAACCAGGTGACTTACCAAAGAGTCTACATACAATTAAATTCAGTTACCAATTTAACACTCCTTTAGTCGTTGACTCTTTACCAATGGGTATAGAGCGTATAATATTTGGTCAGTCCTTCAAACAGGTTTTATTTAAAGGCCATATCCCAGAGTCTGTAAAAGACATAAAATTTGGACCATTCTATAACTTACCGCTAAATCAATACTCTATTCCAAACGGGGTAGAAACCATCACATTCGGCTTTAGTTTTAATCAACCTCTATTTCTACCACCCACAGCCAAAAGAGTAAACCTTGACTCCCATTTTAATCAGCCAATTTTTGGTCTTCCAAATAGCATAGAACATTTATCATTTGGATACTTTTTTAATCAACCAATTAAAGGTGCTTTGCCAACATCTCTAAAATCTTTGGAATTAGGTCCATCGTTTGCATATAGAATAACAAGTGATTGCTTACCGCCATCTTTAGAAACTTTAACACTCTACTATGAGAACCAAAATCCAATCAATGATAATAGAAT